TTCCTTCAGTACCATCGGTTCCTAATCATATGTTACCTCTTGAAATGGCTGAACGTCGACCAATTCTTTTTGGTAAAGTGACACTGTGTATTCTTTCCATCTTCTTTTGATGCTTCCTGCATCGTTTAGTATTTTCCCTGTAAAATCCTTCAATATTGCAACTTGAGGCTTGAATTTTTCTTCATTTCTTGCAACTTGAGAAATGTCGAGGGTGTTCTTCCCTTTTAGTTTTCTAACTCCAGGTCTTTGCACATGTTATTACAATACTTTACTCTGTCTTCTGGAGCCTCTCTTTGAAATCCACTGTTCAGCTCTTTTACTTCATCATTTCTTCCATTCACTGTAGCTGCTCTACATTCAAGAGCAAGTTTCAGAGTCTCTTCTGACATCTATTTTGGTCTTTCTTTCTTTCCTGTCTTTTCAATGACCTCTTGCTTTCTTCTTGTATGATATCCTTGATGTCATCACATAACTTGTCTGGTCTTCGGTCATCAGTGTTCAATGATGGTTCTATTCTTGAGATAGTCTCTAAATTCAAGTGAGGTATACTCAAGGTCATACTTTGGCTCTAGTGGACTTGTTTTAATTTTCTTTAGCTTGAACAGCAGCACTAGCTAACTAATGCACCCCTGTTGGGAAATGGGGGATAAATGGGGCAGGCTTGGCTCTGTAATTTCCTCACTTCTTCAGAGGTTCAACTTCTTTTCTGTGCCTCCAGGGACAGGCTGCCACCTGTCCCTCCCATGTGTCCCCTTGTAATGCCATTGAATGGGTGATTTATTTAGTTCTGGGGCTGATCAGCAAGCCCACTTGTCTCTCATACTAATTTATATCCCCCAAATTGGCCTTTAGCAATAAGAAAGATAGTATTCTAGCCTCTCTCTGAACATTATTACTTCATCAGACTCTTCGTCTTATTTCCCAACTTCATACAGAACCTGGAGGGACAGAGGTGCAACCTGTTGGGTCCTTTAAGACATTAGCCACCTGACACCCCTGGAAGGAGCGACTGACCTTGCCCAGAGTACTTACCATGGCTCTTCACTGGTGTATGGATTTGTGTCTGTGAAACACATGTACTGCAAAATATTTGAAAACCAGGAAAGACCCATGCACGGAAGGTAGGACCAAAAACATCAGTTCTAAAATGTAGGTTAGTACATCCATTCACGGAACATAACTTTCTTGGGAAACTCTTCTTTGCTGAGACCTGGGGGAGACAGAGGTCTCTGGGTGGTTCAAACTCACCCAGTGGCACTGTGGAAGAAAGGCCTGGCAATCTACTTCTGTTACTGTTACAGCCAAGAAAACCCTGTGGAGCTCAACTGACCTCTGTAACACACGGGGTGGCCATGAGTGGGAACTGACTTGACAGAAGTTGGTTTGGTTTTGGGTTTGGGGGAGAAAGACGGGCACCAAGGCAATGATAACACAGTGTCAACTCTCAGGGGGTCACCTGTTCAGAGAGGCCTTTCCTGACCCTCCTACCTACAGGCAATCCCACATGCACCCCAGCCCACCTTCACGATCACATCATCCAGGGGTAGATTACCCAATAAGCAGGGTAAGTATGGGCTTACCCAAAAAGCAAGGTAAGCACTGGATAACCCGTCCCTGTCAGGGATGTAAATTTGATAAGAGCCTTTGATTCTGTAAGAAGGTGATGTGGAGTTGGGAGAGAGGCAGATGCCAGCCATACCTAGAAGCAGAATCTCTTATGTGGTAAAAAAAAAAAAATGTGAAATTACTCAGTACAGATGATCTGGTAAGCAAAGTAAGCACTGTGCTTACCTTGCCTATTGGAAAACCCATCCCTGACATTATCTTATTTGCTTCTTTAATAGCAGTGATTACAGTCTATAACTGCTGTTTGCTTACGTGTTTATTTTCTGTTTCCCTCACACTAGAATGTGTGCCCCTTGACGGCAGGGACCAAGACCGTCTCAGTCATTGCTGTACCCCGAAGTTCATCAGCACAGTGCCTGGGACATTGCTGTTTCCCCAAAATACCTGTGAATGAACGAACAATGTGATAATTGCTACGATAAGGAAGAAAGTTGGGGGGATGGTGGGGGAAAAGACGTGGGAAGAACTTAGGTGTCCAGGTAAATCTAGGGAACCATCCTGCGAAAGGTGACACCTGAGGACAGAGGCAACACCTTAGCGCAGCGAAGGACAAAATTCATTGTTCCATCTAAAGACAGGTGGAAAGGAAATCCTAGGAAGAGGGAAGAGCATGAACAAAAGCACCGTGTGGTTCATGCTAGAACATGAAGTAATAGTGAGTGATGAGAAATGGGGCTGGAGCAGGGAGCTGGGCTGCTTGTGAGGGCACTGAGGAAGGTGTGATCCCACAAGCTGGTGAAGAATACTGAATATACTGCAGACTGCCAGAAGAACAAACAAATTGTCTTGGAAGAAGTACAGCCAGAATGCTCCTTAGAAGCAAGGATGGCGAG